GACTTACTGTGGGGGAAACTGGGTCTGGTTCTGATAAGGGGCCATGCTCAGTAAATCTTTAATCCAATTTTCTGTTGATGGGCAGAGCTGTGTTCCCTCCCTGTTGTTTGACCTGAGACCAAACTATGGTGGAGGTGATGAAGACAATGGTGGCTTCCTTTAAAAGGTCCCATGCACGCACTGCTGCACGGTGCCCCTGACCCTGCAGCAGGCCACCGCGACCCACACCTCCGCCGGAGACTCCTGGACACTCACAGGCAGCTCTGGGTCAGTCCCTCGTGGGGTCACTGCTCCTTTCTCCTGGGTGCTGGTACACACGAGGTTTTGTTGTGCCCTCCCAGAGTCTGCTTCCCCAGTCCTTTGTAAGTCCTGTAATCAAATCCCACTGGCCTCCAAAGTCAAATTCCCTAGAGGTTCTCAGTCCCTTTGCCAAATCCCCAGGTTGGAAAGTCAGTTTGGGGTCCTAGAATTTTCTTAACAGTGCAAGAATTTATTTGGTATAATTGTCCTGCAGTTTGTGGGGTTAATGGTGACCTCCTCCAAGAGGGCTTATGTCACACCCAGGACTGCCGCACCCAGAGCCCCTGCCCCTGCGGCAGGCCACTGCTGACCCGTTCCTCCACAGGAGACACTTGAACACTCAAAGGCAGGCCTGGCCCAGTCTCTGTGGGGTCTCCTGGTGCACACAAGTTTTTGTTTGAGCCCTCAAAGCATCTCTGGCAGGTATGGGGTTTGATTCTAAATGTGATTTTGCCTCTTCTACATCTTACTGGGCCTTCTCCTTTTCCCTTGGACGTGGTGTATCTTTTTTTGTTGGAGAAAATGGAATAGTTTCTATTCAGTATGACAGAGTAGCAGGACACACGCCTTCTGCATGACTCAGCCACACGTGTGCACATGTCCCCTCCCTTTTGGATTTCCTCCCGCTCAGGTCACCACAGTGGATTAAGTAGAGTTCCCTGTGCAATACGGTAGGTTCTCATTAATATCTATTTAAGCATAGTATCAATAGTCTATATGTCAGTCCCAATCTCCCAGTTCTTCCCATTGTCCCCTTTCTTCCATAGTATCTGTATATTTCTTCTCTACATCTGTGTCTCTATTTCTGCTTTGCAAATAAGATCATCTATGCTATTTTTCTAGATGCCACATATATGTGTTAATACATGAAATTTATTTTTCTCTTTCTGACTTACCTTACTCTGTATAATAATCTCTAGGCCCATCCATGTCTCTAAAAAATGACCCAGTTTCATTCCTTTTTCTGGCTGAGTAGGATTCCATTGTATATATGTACTGTGTCCTCTTCATCCATTTCTCTGTTGATGGACATATTCTCTTCAGCCTTTTGATAGGCTGGATGTGTCCCACCCAGACTACGGAGGACCATCTGCTTTACTCCATCTGCTGATACAAATGCTGATCTCCCCCAGAAACACCTTTCCAGCCACACCCGGAATAACATTTAATCAAAGATCTGGACACCCTGTGACCCAGTCAGGTGGACATACTAACCTTCACACGCTGGTATCAGACAAATGTGTGGGCTATTTTAATCCACTCCTCCATCATCAGTAACTCAGACCACACAGCTTGAGACCCTATGTGGAAACCCAGGCCTTGGACTATTTCTTAGAGTTCCCCATAGACATGCAGATTCCACAAATATGCTCACGGACACTCCCCAAAGAGTAAAGGGAGGCACGCGCTTTCCTTGCATCCACATGGGCTTAGCTGTTCAGTCGCGTCTGACTCTTTGTGACCTCCATGGAATGCAGCCCGCAAGGCTCCTCTGTCCATGGGGATTCTCCAAGCAAGAGTACTGGAGTCAGTTGCCATACCCTCCTCCAGGACGTCTTCCCAACCCAGGGATCGAACCCAGGTCTCCCGCACTATAGGCAGATTCTTTACCATCTGAGCCACCCAGGAGGCCCTGCATCTTCATGGTCTTAAATTAAGAGCGACTGTCCAGTATTCAACGTGTGGAGCACGAACCTCTTAGAAAGTATTGGCTGAGCTCCTTATTATTTCTGAACAAGAGCCAGCTTCTCCTGACCAGCGCTCTTGTCCTCTTTTCCCACGTCCTTCTGTCCTTCCTTCCTCACTTTCTTCTACAGACTGAGGACCCACTTTGGGCCGTCGATGATGAGAGCAGACTCGAGAGGAGCAAGGAATGGAAAGACCCTCGTTTGTTCGTTGTCTGGGTCCTTCATCCCCTCCCTCATCATTCGTTGCCAGGCACCTGGCTGGTGAGGAGCTGACGGCCACTCTGAAGCGTGGAAGCGGCACAGCAGAGTGAGGGTTAGGATTACTTAGACACAAATGCTGAACTGAGAAGGGAGTGGGCAAACGAAGACAGGCAAATTGTGCGAAGTCAACTGGCTGGGGAGGGGGAAGTTACGGGTGCAAGAAACAGTGACCTAGGAGCCCAGCTGGAGGAGCAGCCTAAGGACAGGCAGTCGCCGCAGTAAGTCAGACAAGCTTAGAACAACAGGGAGGAAGCATCTTGTGTTCTTCGAGTACATGCAGCCCATGGCACTGTGGGCTGCTCTGTGCTGGACAGACCACCATCCCACTGCAGACCTGTGGGAACCAGCCAGGCCCAAGCCAAAGGGGCATCACCGCTTCCTCCCCTGTCTCTTGGTCCCTCATCTTGCCTCCAATTCTTTTAAAAAAAAAAATCTCCTTTTTTATTCTAAAATTTTTGGTAAAACATGCATAACATAAAATTTACTGTATTACCTATGTTTAAGTGTCCTGTTCAGTGGTATTTATTAGTGTATATTACCGTGCACAACATCTCCACCTTCCACCTCCGGAACTCTTTCCGTTTTGCAGAACTAAAACCTCGTCCCAATTTAACACACTCTCCCCACCCTGCCGTCCTCAGCCCTGTGCAGTCACCTTTCTGCTTTCTGTCTTTGTGAGTTGGGCTAACCCAAAGTACAGGCTTCCCCTGATGTCTGAAAGCAGAGCATTCCTACGAAATCAGTCAGAAGCCAAAACGGTGTAAAGCGAAGACGCAATGACCCCAGGACCCATCTTGCCAAGGGATGCACAAAACAAGCGGAGAGAAAGCACAGATGCTCAGACACACAGTCCGCAGCTCTGGCGGCTGCATGCCGCCACGCCGAGTGTGCTCCCGGGGACGGAGGTTGGCGGGGCCTCTCTCTGCTCACTGTGTGCTACCTCTACGATGGCTGCTGCAAAAAAATGGGGAGTGCTCTTTTCACTTTTTTCGTGAAAAGCATTTCTTTGGATTAGCAAGAATACACACTAACACAGGTCTTGCATGAAAGCAAAGTGGCATAATGTGGAATTTTGAAAAGTGAGTGACACCTGTATCTCATTTGAATGGAATCATACAATACTTGTCCAATAGTAACTGACCTTTCATTTTGTGTAATGTCTTTGAGATTCATCCGCATTGTAGCTTGTGAAAGCTTGTGTCAGAATTCCCTTCGTGTTTAAGCTGAGTAATATTCCACTGTATGGATTTGCCACATTTTGTTTATTCATTTGTCTGCTGACAGACATTGGATTGTTCCCACTTTTTGGTTACTGTGAATAATGCTTCTATGCACTTGGGTGGAGCAACCTCTCTTTGAATCACTGCTTTCAGTTTTTCGGGGTACATACCCAAGAGTGGAATTGTTTCATTGTATAGTATTTCTATTTTTAATTATTGGACCAGTCACCATACTATTTTCCATTGCTGCTGCACTATTTTATATCCCTATGAACAATGAATAAGGGTTCCAATTTCTCCACACTCTTTCTGATACCTGTTTAGTCAGTCAGTTCAGTTGCTCAGTCATGTCTGACTCTTTGTGACCCTGTGGACTGCAGCACACCAGGCTTTCCTGTGCATCACCAACTCCTGGAGCTTGCTCAAACTCATGTCCATTGAGTCAGTGATGCCATCCAACCATCTCATCCGCTGTCATACCCTTCTCCTCCCACCTTCAATCTTTCCCAGCATCAGGGTCTCTTCCACTGAGTCAATTCTTTGCATCAGGTGGCCAAAATATTAGAGTTTCAGCTTTAGCATCAGTCCTTCCAATGAACATTCCGGACTGATCTCCTTTAGGATGGATTGAATGGATCTCTTTGCAGTCCAAGGAACTCTCAAGAGTCCTCTCCAATGCCACAGTTCAAAAGCATCAATTCTTCGGTGCTCAGCTTTCTTTATAGTCCAACTCTCACATCCATACACGAATATTGGAAAAACCATAGCTTTGACTAGATGGACCTTTTTCTGCAAAGTAATATCTCTGCTTTTTAATATGCTGTCTAGTTTGGTCGTAGATCTTCTTCCAAAGAGCAAGCATCATTTAATTTCATGGCTGCAGTCACCATCTGCAGTAATTTTTGAGCCCAGGAAAAGAAAGTCTCTCACTCTTTCCATTGTTTCCTCACCTACTTGTCATGAAGTGATGGGACCGGGTGCCATGATCTTCATTTTTTGGATGTTGAATTTTAAGCCAGTTTTTTCACTCTCCTCTTTCACTTTCATCAAGAGGCCCTTTAGTTCCTCTTCACTTTCTGCCATAAGGGTGGTGTCATCTGTGTATCTGAGGTTATTGTTATTTCTCCCGGAAATCTTGATTCCAGCTTGTGCTTCCTCCAGCCCAGCGTTTCTCATGATGTACTCTGCATAGAAGTTAAATTAACAGGGTGACAACCCAGCCTTGACGTACCCCTTTCCTAGCTTGGAACCAGTCGTTGCTCCATGTCCAGTTCTGGCTGTTGCTTCTTGACTGTTGCCGACACTTGTTATTTCTGTTTCATCTTCAGGGATGAGCCCTGTCTTGTCACCCACACTTGGGACGTCCTGTGCCCCAGGATTCAGCCCGGGCCCTCTCTGCTGTGTCTGTCCTCCGTCCCCGCTGGTCCGTCCGGTCACAGGGCACCACGTGCTGAGAGCTCCCTGCTTCAGCCCAGCTTTCTCCCAGTCTCCATCTCTCCCCGAATCCAGACTCACTGACATAGCTGCTTACACGCCCTCCTCTGGGTGACTAAAAGACTTCTCAAACTCCGCATTTGCACACCTCACTTCCTGCTTGAGACCCTTCTGCCTCCTCCCCGCCTGCTTCATCCACAGCTTCCCCATCTCGGGTGATGACCAGCCCATCCTTCAAGTGGCGCTGCCTGCAGATCTGAGCCAGAGGAACCTTCAGAGGGCTCCTTATTCAGAGGGTCCCCATACTGAGTGTGCGTGTGCACACACACATCACTTTCTTAAGGACACGTGTGATCCAGGGCTTCGATCTGGTTAAGCAGGACCACCATGTCCACAAACATTCACACCAGTCTGACACCATTTAGACCCCACAATCCCCACATTATCTCTGCAAGTCACTGTCGGAGTGCCAGAGAGGTATGTGGTGAAGCTCCTCCAGATGATGCTGGAGACAGACCCTGCTGGCGTGCATAGGCAGGATCTGAGCATCAGCAAGCTTCAGAAGAGCAAAGACAGATGTGTTAACTTGTTAAATTCCCCTTTAAGCAGGAGCACAATGGATTCTAGCCTAGTGACGTTTCACTCCCCAGGACTGCTCAGGGTCCATTTCCTTACTTGTGTTCATATTTGATTTGTGTTTCCAGACTTACTCACAGAAGCGCCTGGCACTCATCACAGCGCTACCTGGTTGCTAAGCTTGCCAAGGAGCACGGACTGTAGCATTAGACGATCCACAGCCTAAAATTTGCTTATATGTAAGTCTAGATATAGCCTACAATGTGAAATACCATTTCTTTATGTTGGCACCTGGATGAACAATGCCCAGGAGGACCACAAATAGTTTTATTTTTATCAAAATGCTTTGTATGTTTTAATTAAGCTTTCAAAAATATAAATTAAAATTTCAGTTATATTACTTCAATAATTGGAGAAGGAAATGGCAACCCACTCCAGTATTCTTGCCTGGAAAATCCCATGGACAGCAAAACCTTGTGGTCTACACCATAGGTTAGCAAAGAGTTGGACACAACTTAGCAACTAAACCACCAATTCAATAATTAAAATGTGTTTTGCCCCTTAATTTTAACAGCTAATTTTGAATTTTTAGAAGCAAAATAATTTTTGAAATCATGGCAAATAATTTAAATTTATTCCTTTTTTACATTCAATTTACATTTTTTACAAAAACACATTCACATTTCATTCTCTTCAGTACAATTTGGTTCTTAGTTCTTTATTTATTAATGATATTAGAAGACAAATTATGTGAAAATCTTGGTCATACAACTTAACTAATGATTATATTGAAATGAGGAAAGAAAAGTGAATCTGATGGAGAAAGTCCATGCAAATATGAATTACAGATTTTTTTTTCACTTATTCTAATATTGCTGGTCCATGAAAGTACCCCCTAGACTGCAGTAAGCATTAAATTCAGTGACATGTTGGCAACGTCCAGCCACTTAAAAGCCATAGCTTTACAGGTAATTTTCTATTTCATCATCACAAAGGCAAGAGGATAGAAAATATCAAATAGTTTGCGAACTCAGTTAGACTTCTTAATGTGTAGATTGTACTCTGGCTCCAGGCCCCAAGTGCCTGTGGGAGGTTACGGCAGGTATCTGTCCCCAGTCCTCCCTTCTGGGGTGGGAGGTTCACCTGTTGGGTGGAGGTTCAGGTACAGACAGAGTCAGCCCAAGACTCCGGCAGTGTCTGCTGCTGGTGACGAGGAGGGTCTTGGACCCCACACTTCCCTGCAGCCGGTTCCCAGTGTGGCAGCCAGAGCGGACACTTGAGCCAGCCTGTTCGTCCTGGGCTCATAACCCGGAAGAGAAGCAAAAGGCAAGGGAGAAAGGGAAAGATACACCCAACTGAATGCAGAATTCCAGAGAATAAGACCTTCTGAAATGGACAGTGCAAAGAAATACAGGGAAAAAATAGAATGGGAAAGACTAGAGATCTCTCCAAGAAAATTGGAGATATCAAGGGCACATTTCATGCAGGGACTGGCACAATAAAGTACAGACATAGCAAGGAATTAACAGAAGCAGAAAAGGTTAAGGAGAAGTGGAAAGAATACATGGAAGACCTGTACAAAAGAGGTCTTACTGACCTAAATAACCAAAATGGTGTGGTCACTCACCTAGAGCCAAACATTCTGGAGGGTGAAACCAAGTAGGCCTTAGGAAGCATCACTGCAAACAGTGGACATGATGGAATTCCAGCTGAGTTAGTTAAAGTCCTAAGAGATGCTCTTAAGTGTTGCACCTAGTATGTCAGCAAATTTGGAAAATTCAGTAGCTGCCACAGGACTGGGAAATGATCAGTTTTCATTCCAGTTCCAAAGAGCAATGTCAAAGAATGTTCAAACTACTGTATGACTGCACTCATTTCACTTGCTAGCAAGGTTATGCTCAAAATCCTTCAAGCTATACTTCAACTGAGAACTTCCAGATGTACAAGCTGGGTTTAGAAAAAGCAGAGGAACAGGAGATCAAATTGCCAACATTTGTGGGATCATAGAGAAGGCAAGGAAATTCCAGAAAAAACATCTACTGCTTCATTGACTATGATAAAGCCTTTGACTGTGTGGATCACAACAAACTATGGAAAATTCTTAAAGAAATGGTAATGCCAGACCACCTTATCTGCCTCCTGAGAAACCTGTATGTGAGTCAAGAGGCAACAGTCAGAACCAGACAGGGAACAATGGACCAGTTCAAACTTGCGAAAGGAGTACTTACTAGAAGGCTACATCAGTTCAGTTCAGTCGCTCAAAGTTGTGTCCAGCTCTTTGTGACCCCATGGACTGCAGCACGCCAGGCTTCCCTGTCCATCAACAACTCCCGGAGCTTGCTCAAACACCTGTCCATCGAGTCAGTGATGCCATCCAACCATCTCATCTTCTGTTGTCCCCTTTTCCTCCTGCCTTCAATCTTTCCCAGCATCAGGGTCTTTTCCAGTAAGTCAGTTCTTCATGTCAGGTGGTCAAAGTATTGGAGTTTTAGCTTCAGCATCAGTCCTTCCAATGAATATTCAGGACTGATCTCCTTTAGGATTCACTGGTTGGACCTCATTGCAGTTTAAGGGACTCTCAAGAGTCTTCTCCAACACCACAGTTCAAAAGCATCAGTTCTTTGGCACTCAGCTTTTTCATGGCCCAACTCTCACATCCATACATGACTACTAGAAAAACCATAGCTTTGGCTAAATGGGCCTTTTTTGGTGAAGTAATGTCTCTGCTTTTTAATATACTATTTAGGTTGGTCATAGCTTTTCTTCCAAGGAGCAAGTGTCTTTTAATTTCATAGCTGAAGTCACCATCTGCAGTGATTTTGGAGCCCAAGAAAAGAAAGTCTCTCACTGTTTCCCCATCTATTTGCCATGAAGTGATGGGACCAGATGCCATGATCTTCGTTTTTTGAATGTTGAGTTTTAAGCCAGCTTTTTCACTCTCCTCTTTCACTTTCATCAAGAGACTCTTTAGTTCCTCTTCGCTTTCTGCCATAAGGGTGGTGTCATCTGCATATCTGAGGTTATTGATATTTCTCCCGGCAATCTTCATTCCAGCTTGTGCTTTATCCAGTCTGGCATTTCACATGATGTATAGAAGTTAAATAAGCAGGGTGACAATATACAGCCTTGATGTACTCCTTTTCTGATTTGGAACCAGTCTGTTGTTCCATGTCCACTGTCACTGTTTATTTGACTTATGTACAGAGTACATCTTGAGAAATGCCAGGCTGGATGAATTATAAGGTGGAATCAAGATTTCCAGGAGAAATAACAACCTCAGATACAGATGATACCACTCTAATGGCAGAAAGTGAAGAGGAACTAAAGAGCCTCTTAATGAAGTTGAAAGAGGAGAGTGAAAAAGCTGGCTTAAAACTCAACATTCGAAAACCAAAGATTATGGCATCTGGTCCCATCATTTCATGGCAAATAAAAGGGGGAAAGTGGAAGCAGTGGATTTTATTTTCTTGGCCTCTAAAATCACTGTGGATAGTGACTGCAGCCATGGAATTAAAAGACTCTTGCTCCTTGGAAAGAATGCCATGACAAACCTGGACACTGTGTTAAAAAACAGAGACATCACTTTGCTGACAAGTCTGTCTAGTCAAAGCTATGGTTTTTCCAGTAGTCATGAACAGATGTGAGAGTTGGACCATAAAGAAGGCTTAGTACTGAAGAACTGATGTTTTTGAATTGTGGTGTTGGAGAAGATGCTTGAGAGTCCCTTGGAGATCAAACCAGTGTGGAGACAAACCAGTCAATCCTAAAGGAAATAAACCCTGAAAATTCACTGGAAGGACTGATGCTGAAGTGCCAATACTTTGGCCACTTGATTCAAAATGCAAAGTCATGGGAAAAGACCCTGATTCTGGGAAAGATTGAAGGCAGGAGGAGAAGGGGGCGACAGAGGATCAGATGGTTGAATAGCATCAGAGACTCAATGAATGTATGTTTGAGCAAAGCCCAGGAGATAGTGCAGGACAGAGGACCCTGGCATGCTGCAGTCCACGAGGTCAAAAAGAGTTGTACACAATTTAGTGACTGAACAACAACTAGTCCATTGGTTTCCAACAATCCTAGGAGCAGAAGAACCCTGTCTTCAGACAAGATTTGAAGCCCAGTGTATAAGCAAACAGGCTTCCCAGGTGGCGCTAGTGATAAAGAACCTGCCTGCCAATGCAGGAGGCACAAGAGACACAGGTTCGATTTCTGGGTCAGGAAGATCCCCTGGAGGAGGGCATGGCAACCCACTTCAGTATTTTTGCCTGGAGAATCCCATGGACAGAGGAGCTGGTGGGCTAAGACCGTAGGGTGTAAAGAGCCGGACACGACTGAAGCGACTTAGCATGCACACACACACTCAGGCATGCATATAAACAGACACAGCCATCACTGGATCGGTTACTGGAAAGAGCGGTCCCAGGGCTTGCGGGCTCTGTGGAGGGTTGTTGGCAAAGCCCTGTGCTGGTCCAGCCCCATCTGGGGCAAATACTGACTGGAAGACCAGAGAACATGACCATCTTGAGCTCGATTTTGTAGGTTTCCAGGAAGGGGGTCAGGTGGGCCCCTGATCTGACCATCAGGCTGCGGCTCCTCTGTCCTGCCTTCTGGAGGTGCTTCCATGCCAGACCCCAGAATGGAGATTTAGCCTGCTC